AAAAAGAAATAGAAACAAGTGAATCAATTATAAAAAAAAAACAATGTATGGAGGGTGTAGTCCTTCAAGCGGGCGGCCCAGGTTCGACTCTTCCCCGCAAGTCATTCCCCACTCTCTCTCTCTCTCTCTCTCTCTCTCAAAAAAAGATTTGATTTGTGTCGCATGATGTTACCAACAGGAAACTGTCATACACGACGTCAGCCGCCACACGTTTCATTAAAGCGGGGTTCACACTACGAGATGATCGAGATGATTTATGTCTGATTATCTGATGGTTCCAAAGATGATGTTGCCAGATGTTCCTGTGGTGTGAAGTGTGTTGAGAGTGAGTTTAACCTCCCCGATCGCTCGGAAGACGATCTGGAGCGCCCCAAATTTGAAATAGTAGATATTAGTATTGTGTTATCAGAGAGATGATGTTGTGTGAGGGAAACGACCGAGGACAGCCGAGGACGCACTCTGGCTATTCCTTTCCACTTAAAAATACACAATCGGGGACTGACGTATCCATGGCAACGGCAGAAAACATGACGCATAAAGTTAACTAAAAGGTAACAGCTTGTTGATTTGTGGCAACAACAAAGTGTGTTTACACAACGTATCCTGTAAAAACATAAACCAACAATCCAACGGGCGAGGACAGGAGGTGTACAGCCGGCGTACACGAGCGCTCTGTACGACCCCGAGTCGAGACACAGCTAGAGTATCCATCAACAGGCTCAACAACCCTCTGCAGTCCGATTGTGTTATGGTCATGTTTTCTGTTTCTCATGAAAGCGATGCCAGCAGCAGCGATGCTCAGCTCGTTCAGCGCTATTAGAAAATGGTCACATTAAGCAGAGTGGTGGAGCTGTTGCACGAGGCGCAGGTTAATGTGTTCATGATTTAACCAAACCAGGAAGTGAACCTGCTGTATGACGTCTTTCTTAACGTCTCTGTTGCTTAAAAAAACAGAGTATCCGTGCAGCACTGACCCGTTTCTTCTTCTGAGCTGCACGGTACATGTGGATGTAGGAAGAGGGTCGTTGTTGGCGTCTCAGGAATAACAAAAACATCCACAGTTAGCAGGATGGACTCAAGTCAGCGAGTCGTTGCCATGGTTACTTCTTCTTTCTGCTTCTTGGCGGATTTGAAAACTAACTATGTGCATACTGCCCCCTGCTGTATCGGAGTGTGGACAAACTGAAGTGTACTCGAGTACAGTACAGAACCATGTTACTGATGTGAACGCAGACCAGCGGGGGGAAATCGTGCTCGGCACGGTAAAAAACACAATCGTGCCGAATGTGAAAAGCGACCTCCCTCTTTTCTGTTTTTGTCAGTCAGTTTAGGGAGCAACATCAAACTTTGTCGTGAGCGTTTACCAGCTCCGCTCTCTCAGTTCAAAGGTGAGATAATAAAAAATTTGATGTGAGTTAAAGTCAAGTTATTTTTCACTCCTGAAAGCACCCCCCCCCCAATTCATCATTGTGTTAAGTGGCAGCTGATTGGCCTCCGCTCTGTAACCTCTGACACACACAATGGAAAAAGAAATCCCCATTCCTTTAAGCACTCAGGCGTCTTCCTTATCTCATCTAAGAGTGAGTGTGGGTTAACTGCAGATTAGCCGCGTTGTTGAACAGATTGGATTTGAACCCAGGACGTGTTGGAGTCTCTCTCCATGTTAATCCTGCTCTCTCTATCCCCGCTCCGGACGCCAAGAGAGAGCGAGCAGTTCATTCCTCTCTCGTTCTCTCCATCTATAACAGGCTGAGTTGTGACAATTCAATCTGTTCAGCGTCTTCCCGCATGAATTATGGATGAACCCTGCAACCTCTGAATGTGGAGGGGATTTACGCTTTATAACCGCTCCTGCTCGTATCACAGGCTCAATGAGGATCTGAAAGAGGTTTGGGGTAGGGGGGGGGGATCAAGGTAATTCACAGCGCATCAAAGTGGTTGAAATGCCAGTATTAATATCCTGTGATGGTGGAGCACTGATTCACTCCTCTGTGCTGGAAGCCATTAAGCAGAGCTCATTCAGAGAGAGGGGGCCGGGCCGCGACTTCTCTGATAAGCAATTACTGAAGCATCATTCTGTCCCCGATGAACTGCCAGGTGAATCCTGCTCCCCCAGGTGAAATAAGCAGAACGACTCCATCGAGACGCCTTAGAGTAACAACTGGAATACCAACACGTTCTTACCATTGGTTGTTAAATATTAACGCTTTGTCACCGCCTTTCATGTTGATTATGACAAAGCACGGGAACAACCAACTCAGGAAGTCAGGGGCAGCATGTCGGAAAGTTTCAGACATGCATGTGTCAAAAGAGGTCCAAGTTTTTAATGAAGGGGGGTGGGGGGTGTCTTATGATTGGGTACCAATCATCTGTGTGTTTTTTTTTGTCGTTTGAATCTTTGAGATTTTGTAACCTGGTCACAGAGGTTTGTTTGTTTCTCTCGGTGAGACGTTCAGGTTCTCTCACAGGGAACTGGAAAAAACGACTTCCTGGAACTCGACGACTTGTTGACACACATGTTGACCCAAAGTTAGAAACACACTTTTATCTTTAATATCTTTGATATAAAAAGTAAATAAAGACCACTCCCTCGACTGGGATTGTGTGTGTAAATCAGATTAATAAAAAAGAGTCATTATGTTGAGACAACCTGAAATGTGTCTGAAGCTTCTTTGACTTTCTCTCCTTCTCCCTGATTGATAAACTTGGAAGTTATTCAGGAATTCTGAAGAGCAGGATTTTTTGAAGGAGCAATAAGTAACTCTTGCACCTAGTGTTTAAAATGGGTACTGCAGTTTAAATTCTAAACATCATAGAGAGCTGTCTCCCCTCCTCTCTAGAGTGGATGCTCACTCAGGTCACCATGTGGTGGACTCTGAAGCTTCAGTGTTTATCCAGCTCTGCATGGGTCTGTAAACCTTTCTGTGTTCTAACCTCTCTCCATTTTTCAAAAGCATCTCCAATATTGATCCTAGTTTGAGCACGTTTCTGCTCGTGGAGCTTATTAGAAACATGCAGAGGCTTTTTAGGTCGGGTACAATCACTTCTATCTGAACCACTTCTCTTGACCGCTTCCATCACTGCAACACCTGTTGACCTGATAACTGCTCTCATATCTGGCAACCCAAGGGGCGTCCAAAACAGCCGTGTGGGGGTTGCCTTGAAATCGCCTACTTTCTCTGGTCCAAACAAATCCAGAGCATTCAGGAGCAGAATCTAAAGTTAGAAGGAGGACATACTGGCTGCTGCATTGTTGTCAGAGAAGCCAGCACTTCAACATAGCATGTTTCCTTAATGATCAGAGAGTAAGATACCTTTATCATCTCACTCTCTACACATCTCACTGAGTGGACCTTTTAGAAACACCTTACTCTTCTGACCTTGAGCACACGAGACAATATCAACACCTCTCTACACTGATGATGAGGCTTTGTGTCCATACACAGAAAGCTGTGACTTTACCTTGGAGCCAACAACAAATATTAAGGATTTTGCAAAGTGGGAGAATGGATGCTTTGTAAGTTACGGGGGCCCAATGAGGACAAAACATGACCATTCATGAAAAGTGATCAGGTATTCGGCAATAATGAAACCTAAAGGGTCAGAATGTTGAGAGCAGGACTGATAGGGACGTTACACAAAGTTAGAATAAAAAGAATAAGCCTTTCATTAGCTTTAAAACAAAACAATAAAGTTCCGCTTTCTGCAGCAGAGAGGGGACAGGAAGTGACTGTGCAGCTCGACAAAAAATTAGTTATAAATATGTTTGTGTGTGTGTGTGTGCACATGATTGTGTGTGCAGAATGTTTTTGCACCCGGAGTGTGCAGAGTGTGTGTGTTTGTTTGTGTGTGTGTGTGTGTGTGTGTGTGTGTGTGTGTGTGTGTGTGTGTGTGCGGAGTGCATCATTCTGAGAATTACTTTGACACCAGCTGAGCTCGAATTTTTCTGCATTTAGGAGCAATCACGCTGCAGCTTTAAAGTTCCAAACACTTCAGAGTGAAAACTGCAGACTGTTTGTGGTGGATTACTTTTATTACTGAGCTGTACGATGACGTCATCTTATCAAAGTCTAAAGACTTTAAGGATTAAAGCACACAGATTCTCCTTTGATACACATCAGATATATACATGTAGTCATGGCATTTTCATTTGTTCATATTTTGAATCTTGAGGTTTGTTTTTACTTTCTGGCTCATAATGTGAGTATGATAAATAACTAGGTTATTAGTTTTCGTTTGAATATGGCTTTTCCGATTTTCTGGGGTGCACTTGAACGTCACTTGTTTTACAGTTGATTGCAGCACGTTGCCATCTCGTTCACATTCTGTAAACAAACTCTTACCATTCAATATAAAGAGTGAATATCTGGACATAAAGTTGTGGACTGGTCCTTCTTAGGAGTAAAAGTCATCACAACAAGAGGAACCTGAGTTAAGAAAGACAAGAATAAGTTAGAACCATTTTCAAATCACAGGATTAATTTAACTCCAATTAAAACTCAAAGAACTGTATTTAAAAATACACATGTTCATAGTTGACTATTTCAAAATGTAACAACCCATGCTCTCTTCCCTTTCTTAAAATGGCTAACCTCTTTGTTTGTGATGTTGACGTCATGGGTGGGCCCATTAAGGTCAACACCAGTAATGAAAAACAAGATTGTGCGGATCCTCTTGCAAAGATAACCGCTCGTGTAAATCTTTTCATCTCTTTTTGAAAAACTGGAATCCGAAAATCTTAAGAGTCACATTATCCCCTGTTTTAAAGAGAAGTTGACTCAGTATGGTGTCTTTATCATTTACCGAAGAGAAGAAATGTGTCTTTGTCTTGGCAGATTCGTTTTTGAACTTCTACTTGAGGTTGTATCAGTCTTGAGAACCGAAAGAAACTTGTGATGTGTGTGAGGCGTTTTATTTTGAAAAGTCACGACCGGACATGGCGTCAGCTCGGGTATTTGAACGAGCTGGAGCGCAGTCTCTCTCCTCAGTCAGAGGGGAAAGTTGTCTCCGCTCAGAGGAGCAAGGGAGCCGGGGACCCGCTAGTTTCCACCGCCGCCGCCGCTTCCGCTGCTTCGTCTTCTTCTTCTCACGCTTTTCTCCCCCCGGAGAGATGAGGCGGAAAGAGAAGAGGCTTCTGCAGTTCGCCGGGCTGCTCATAGCGGCTCTTCTTTTCCTCCCTAACGTCGGGCTGTGGTCTTTGTACCGGGACCGAGTGTTCGACAACTCGCCCAGTAGCGTGGACGCTGCGGCCGGGATCCTCTCCGTGCAGGTAAGGGGAAAAAAAACTGTGGATTCTCAGGGAGTCTCACCAAGGAACACATCGCGGATTTAAAACCCGACAGGAGCAGAAAATGATGTCAGACAAGAGGAGAATAAAATGTGTAAGAGCTGCAGAGTCAGGACCATGGAGAGCGCCCCGGTACGCTCCAGTCTGCTCCGGTTCAGCACCATGGACAGCGACGAGCACATTATTTCTTCTGCGAACCTCCAATCAGTGAGGGTAGTTTAGTAAATATTTAACACCTTTTTTTAATATCTCCTGGTTTCTTTGTCGAAAGAGTAAAATCAGATAATGAGATGATCAGCTGCTGCAGAGAGAGGCACGAGTTGCTTTCTGCTCTTCTGTTGTTTATCTTGCAGGTTAATGTGTTGCAGCAGGCGGGGCGTTTAATTCCAGTTTTATTCCGTCATAATGAGCAGTTTGTAGTTGGGTTTTATTTTGGTGATGACTGATGTGAAAGCCTTCATGGACTGGTTGCTGTAGTTGGCTACTGTCAGGCTACCACTGGTTCTGTGCAGAAACCAGTAAATGAAGTCATGAATAATGAGATGCATCAGAGAAGTCATGTCTTTGCATGGCTTATTCAAGAAAAACAACAAATCATATCATTCAGGAAGCTGCAGAATGCAAACCAATCAAAACATTTCTTGATGAATAGCTCGACCGCTCATCCTTCGGTTGACCAGAAAAGCACCACTAAGTCTGTGTCAGCCCAGGCTGAAAGACACTTTGCATCATTGTCACTACGATGGACAGCCTCCATGATGTGTCACAGGCGCTCCATTCAGAAAATACACGCTCTGAATAAACCACTAATAGACCAAATTGTACAATTAGTATGCAGAGAGTGTGTGTAGGTTAAGATATGAATCATTGCAGAGGCAGTTTTAAAAAGAGGCAAAACACAAATATTTTAGATTTTCACAGTGACCACATGAAGAGGATCTTTTTTGGAACATTAGGCATCTGTTTTGAGTGTATGTGTGAGAAGAAAAAACATTTTTCCTCCCTAAATGTGACAAAGAGCTTCAACTTCTCAGGGGTTAAAAAACAGCCTCAGTAGTACTTTTTTTAAAAGTCTGATCTATAAGTCAACGTGATGTCTTACTCCATCCAGCTCAGATCAACCGACACAAATATGACTAACAGCCGCAGTGTCGTTTTCTCTTATCGACGCCTGCATTGATTTCTGCTTCTCCCAGTTTCAGCCGAACGGACGAGAGAATGAAGAGATGAGAAATTGATCACGATGTCTCCTCCCGACTGACTCACCAGCTTCACGACTCGTAGTAATTATTCTCAGCATCTCTCGTTTTTGATCACGGCTCGATTGTTTGTGAGACTGTTCTCCAATCTTCACTGCCGCTGAGGAAACGACATTCGCAAGTTATTTTGAAGCTTCTTCTGCTTTACTTTCCAATTTGTGTTTCCCAGTACGGACCTGCCATGCAGTGTTATTTCTACTGCACATGTTCTACACTTTCATTCAGCATGTTTACAGAATCAAGACAGATTTTGTTTTTTAAGAAAAAGCAGAAGTTTTACGCTCCTCTGTAACTCTCCCCGAGGGGACGTCACCTCTCTGACGCTTTTGTGCAACAAATTGCAAGTTTGAGAGAACATTTAGCACAGATTGCCTTCGAAATCTCTTAAGATTTCAACATCATCAAGGCTTCACATGTTATATATCTTAATCTCTGACTGGATTGGAGTTATAGGCTAAATATCCTGAGAGAGATGGAGTTAAAATTCAGATTATTTTCATTTAAATTCAAGTATTCCCAAAGTTGTTGAGAAAGAAACAGAAAGTAAAATGCGGTTCGATTTGACTCTGTTTGTTATTTTTAGATGTTTAGTGTAAACTTTAGTGTCATCCCATTGGGATTTTTAAATGTCTCCTCTAACAGGACGGGTACTTCAGAGTCCCCGAGTGGAAGTTAAAGATACCAGATGGTTAATTGTGGTTTAATTGTTCTTTTCTGTCAAACTCTACTCCACCAGAGGAACATTTCTCCATCATGAGCTCTAAATTCCTCTCCTCCTCCCTGAGCGCAGATTGCTCGAGGTGTGCAGCAGAGAGAGAGAGGAGAGAGAGTAACAGGGTCGCATGTAACACAGGTGATATTGTTTCAAATGGTGGAAAAGGTTTGCCTGTGGTAGTGTAGAAGAGTAAATGCTCTTGAACAACCACACAGAGACTATGGCTTGTGAATCGAGGATCTGCTTCTTTCTCTTGGAGCAGTTCTTTTATAGCATCCCAATCATCCCGTTATGGGCAATCGTCACACGGGGCAATTACAACATGTGTCCTATAGAAAGACCATGTCCTAGAAGTTTGTTGGACAGACAAACTGGTCTATTACCAGGAACGAGTGGCTGGGTATGTGTGTATCAGAACATGACTTTATGACCTGGCTAAATTCAGAGGTTAGATAACTATTTGTTTGTGCCTGTTGCTGTCCAGATTGTGTGTTTCTGTTATGATTCAACCTTTCAAACTACAACAGTAGCTAGCTTATGTCTTCAGCACGGTTTGCAGAGCAGGATGCTGTAAAAAGAACCTCAACATCTCCAAACTCCTGAAGCTGAGCAGCCTTTCTTGTCGCCGTTGATTTCTCCGTGCTTTGAGCGGGCAGGCTCAGCGTTTCCTTCAGTGTCTAATTATCGCTCTATTGTCCAGTACTCATTGCGTTCTCATGACCGCTTCAGAGGGATATGCTTATGTTGAGTACTTATTGTTTTAGTTTGAAATGAACATGCTTTTTCTGTTTACATTTTTTTTTGCTTTAGGACTGTTTTCTGACCCAGGACCAGCAGACACTCAGACTGCTATACAGACTCGTACACATTGTGTGCTGTCTCTTCAGTCCATTTGATGTTCTCGTAACTCAAGTTTCTGCTATACTTTCCATCCACAGAGCACTTTGGTGGATGCAACAGTGGGATTTATAGTTTTGACCGCTTCATGCTCTCCATCCCAAACGCTCGGACAGAAACTAGGAAAAAGGTCTTTTGGGTATTCTGCACCCTCAGCCTGGAATCTGTTGCAGAATGACATTAAACTCAAGGAGCTGGAGTCCTTCAAGGTTTTTAAATCAGAAATGAAAAAACTGGAACCAGAATCTACAGGATGCTGACTGCATGAACGACTGACTACCCAGATTTGATGCTCCTAGATAGTCCTCTTTGAATGCATATTGTAATGAACTGTCCTGCAACTGTAGCTTTAAAATCTGGACTTTAGAGCAGCAGGATGTTCTGAGGAGAACACTCATCATGTGTGACGTTAGTGCACCACGGTGTCACTAAGTCCTGATGCTCTCTTAGCAGGTACGTGCGGTCGGCTTGTGAGTCACCCTGACGTGGTCTGTCCCCAGGCGGCCCCTAACACTTGTCTTTTTTTTTTTTTTTTTTTTTTTTTTTTAACACCAATCTTTACCGCAGTGCTGAAAACTGTCTGGCTGGATTTTTAAACTTTAAAAAAGACAAATTGGAACAATGGGCAAATGAGAAGAGAAGGAAACAAAGTGTGTGTTTGTGTGTTTTGAATTCTCCCTGTGGGCTGTTATGGCAGCACTGAAGTAGATAAAAATCAATACTCTTATCCCATTCAGCCTTTTCTCACATAAGTCTTGTTAGAGACTTTCACAGCGGATATTTTCTTCTTCCCCTTGTTGCCTTCTGTCTGCCTCGCTTTTCGACGACACGGTGCTTAAACCATCAGAAGAACAAGATCAGAGCGGATTAAAGACAAACAGAATGAGCTGCAGTCAGATTCAAACAAGAACTCCCAGGCTGATGCATCAGATAGAACAGAATATAAATGAACAGCAGAATTACTAGCTAGTTAACTTCATTATTGAAACTTTATATTGTTGCCCTCCGAGCCGGTCAAAAGTTTTGCTCAAACTGCAAGACAGCCTCCTGCCTGCTCTCCCCGCTCTACTACCCAGATGTAAACGAGCACAGTGAACAGAAAGCATCTCATGGGAGCACCGTGGTCAGACAGTATTTTGTTATAATGGAGATAAACTTGTATGGCGGCTGTCGGGTTAAACTGGCACAGCTCTCGACAAACTGGTACTGAACTGTGACCTCTGAGAACGATTACACCCAAGCCCCCCAGGAAGTGTGCCGACCAGTGGAGCAAAGTTGACACGGTGCTGGAACCTGGTATTGCAGAGTCATGTGATGCTATTGGGGTCAAAAATACTTTCTCCAATAAGCTAACATCGAGAAAGAGACGTCTATAAATCAGCAGATACATTATTTTTTAAGGTGCATCAACTTCCTTTTTAAAATCAATAGGTCCTAAAAGTTGCAGAATGCAATTAAAGCTGAACCCAGATTGGAGACACATGTCTGCGCTAAACTTGTGCATCCTCTATGGGTGCAGTAATGTACAAGATCTGGGAACTTTTACACAAGGAAGTCAGACTTTTTTTGTGCTTCATGCTCCACTGAGCAGCTTTCATAGGAGTGAACAGAGCACCGCCTCCAATGCTGTATCCATTCTACAAAACATCCAACGCTACACCCCTGGTCCAGTACATGTTTTGAGTCGTAATTTCGAAAATATACGATGATTAATGTAAGAGAAATGTGGACAAGTGAAAAGCGGGTTTTGCTCACTTGTATTTAAATACTGAAACCAGTGTGGCTGATTGCCTTCCAGCAGCACACTCACACCTGTATCTGTGCTCCTCCTGACCACTACTGACTGCTGTGTTAATATGGAGGTGCGATTTGTCTCTCCTCCTCTGCCCGGTTCAGACCCAGCCGAGCAGAGAGATGTGCAGCATAGAGGGGGTCTGAGAAGGAGACTGGGCGAAGCTGTGAAGGCCACATCTGTCCCAAAGTTTCCCCGTGTTGAATGAAGCTAAGCTCTAAAGCGACATGATGAGTCACCGGTCCGTGTCCTGAATTCCGCTGACGGAGAGACCAAGAGAGGAGACTGCAGGGCTTCTTCTTGTTGCATGACATGAGAG